TCCCAAAAATGATTGTGCAGCCTCACTTTGAAAATGGCCTTTGTGTGTCTTGGAATTTTGACTTCGAGGTTGTATGTATGTTTATTTTGAATAGGTAATATAAGTCTAATATATACATATTTAGATGCCTTCACTGTAACTAGACAAGTGTGATGCTTTTAACCTGTATTTTCATGGTCGTTTGCTTTCTACAGTTGACCTATATGGTGCACTCCTACAAAATGAGACATTTAGATACACAGCCAGAGATTAATGTAATCTATTTCAGTCCAATTTATTAGATTTTTATTATATCATCATGGTTAATAGTACTTTGAGGTATATTTACTACCAATTCCACTATAAAGAGCAAAGTGTCATGGGTAACTGCATTTAGTATTATAAAAGCTGTTTTCAAAAGAAAAGTTTCAGCCACTTTTTGTATAGTAATTAGAAATAGTATATTAGGTTGGGGAAATACTTTCATCTTCCTAAAATTACTGTGCGGTCACATCCATCGGTATTTTTAGTAAGGATGTCACATCACAATTAGGCTATTTCTTATAGGTCAGAGACAAATACAAGTATTATACCACAATTTCTTTTGAAGGAATATATTTGCAAAATGTCAATGATTCTACTAAAAGAAATGATCTGGCAATTCACTCTAATAACTTGTTTCTGGGAAAGTGTATATCAGAAGAGTTTATTTAAATAACAAAAGCATTACCTTTGTCAGACTCATGAAAAGATATTTAAAGGCAAAGAGCATTCAAATGGCCTTGTTTGGGGATTTGAAGATACAAGCTGCTCATGTTCTCCTTCAAATGTCGTATCTGAACTTTGTAACCTTCTAAAAATATCTTCAGAAGCTTTATCAGGTAGATCCAGTATCGATTACTACAGTATAATTTAGGCTTTCCCATAGTATATACTATGTGATTTGTGTAATTTTAAGGAAATTTAGATCTTCTAAAATAATTCAAAGTCATCATTATTCAAGTAGTAGCTAGTAACTGAATTTGATGTATTGAATAGGTTTTATTTTAATATCACTAAAAAGTGTTTAAGTAACATGTAAAGATCAAACATACCACCTACAGTCATTTTGCGTATTATAAGTTGCGGACATTTTGTAAAATAAAATTTATTTCATTTTATTTAAGAATTTAACAATAAAATTATATACTAATATTATATATGTGTGCATTTAGTTTACTTTATATGAAATAAATTCTATTAGTTATAGATTTTTAGCCTAGTGAATATCTACTCTCTATCTCCTTATATTAGTATAAGATAGTGGGATACAATCTTTACAAGCAAACGATTAGTTTCTGATTTAAACACAGGTTTAAAGATGACATATAAGCTAGTCATGGGAAAGGCTAACTTTTATTATTAATTTTACTTAGTCACAATGCAAATTTAAGAGAGAAGCTACAGAAGAATTTAGCTGCTTAATATTGGCAAGAAATTACATAGCTTATGCTGTTCGTATAAGTAAAGTTTTTCATTGGGCAAAGACTACCCAATGATAGATGATGCAAAGACAATTATGGACCATGTTTGTCAATTTCATGAAGATTTGTCTAGTTACATTTAAGTTTAAAATAGTAATTTATATATATATATAATCGTTATGTGTTTGTTTAAGTTAAATTCCAATTTACAGCATAATGTAGATTATTATTTACTTACTCTAAGTATGCAAAAATTATTCCACATTTTAGTTAACATCTATTAGAAATTTTAGAGACACAAATATATTTAAATATTTAATAAAATTTTTCAGTAACATATGATACTTTTATGTCTACAGAATGTCATATTTAATGCAACTTTAACATTTATTAATGATAATTAAGTTTTGGGGGAAATGTAGGAAGTATTTTCATAGAATACATTAAAAAGGCTCATAGTAGTCTTTGTTCTGTCCACTGATTAAATGACCAAGTCTCTACTTGTGTCATTCTTCACTTACTATGATATGTTCTTAGAGCAGACTGTGAGTCAACCAGGACAAGACTACGTTGCACTTCTTTACTGATTTGACACTTTCAACACTACACTCTACCTAAATGTGTACCTCTTTGTCTGACTGTCAATCAAATTTATTCATTGTCTTTCCTCTCTTCCTTTTGCATAGAAATCTGTTTTTATGTCTAGATCCTAAATACTAAAGACAGACTTAAATGTTATTTATTTAAATCTATTTGTAATTATTTGTCCTATCTGGCACTAAGTTAAAACCTTCAAAGCCAATCATAGTACAAACATCAGGTTACTCTTTTGTTAATATATTCTTTTGGATCAGAAACCATCCCATAGAAGTTTCTTGAAAAAAATAAACTATTTTAATTATGAGAAAATCAAGTATTTTTTCATAAGCAATAGTAAACTAATACCTTACATTTTCATAAAGTTATAAAATCAGACAGAACTATAAAGCATATTTTAAGCAATTATGACATTATTTCCTGAAAATACTTTGGGACACCTGTTTTTAAAATGTGACATCATTTTTTCATTAGTACATTCCTATAGGTGTCAATGAAAACCTGTTTTCACACTGTTGGAATTTGACATTCAAATTAGAGAAAGGTATACATCATAAAGACTAAAGGCTATTTCAGCCAAAACAGAGAAACTATTCAGTATTCAAAGCTAGAAATGAATAACTCTCCTGAATGGAATGGCTAGGAGGAAATGCTTGCTTTCAGATCTCTCAAGGCCAGAATATCATCCAGATTGATCATGATTATGTCTTCATTTGAAATTTTAATCTGTAAGCTTGTTTTACAGTTATTCTTGCCTCTTTTCTGTATTGCTTTTCTAAGAAGCCAAGCTCTTCAATGTAATATTTCTAAGAAATAAATGTAAATAGTAGTAATTGATTAATTCTGCTGAAGAAGGAGATTTGATGAGAATATTATTCATTATAATACAATCTGAGTCTATTTGGGAATATTCTGATAGGAAGTAGGAAATGAAGAGTATGTATATTCCATGCGAACAATTTGAATTAAAATATGATTCATGATGAATACATTTTCTTTTCATATTGTTTGAATTATCACTCACTCTTTGTATCTTTTTGGTAGAATTTTTCCAAATATAAACTGAAAAATAACCTTCATTTCGTGGAGAGCAGTTGGAATATTCTTTATTATGAAGAGTAATTCCTAGAGCTCAAGAGTATCACCCAGTGTCTCATGAGAAAGCTGTTAGTATAAGACATGCACACATTTTTACATAGAAACATAATGCCAAACATTAATACAGAAATGATTTTATAATCGTCTTTACATCTCCCATCTGCTCTGAAGAAGGTTGGATGCTCAGTTCATGAAAAATAATGAACTAGGTGTTAGAAGAAGAACAATGATCTAATTTCTCTTGGTTTCTTTTTTCCTTCTCTCTCATGAAGTGGAACCAACAGAAAGTGAAAAGATTGATGATGAGACTAGGTCTCAGTTTGAAAGTGGAATTCTCTGAGAAATGCAAAATAATCTTGAGGATTTTATGCATGCAAAGGTTCTTCGGATGTGCCACCAATTTTGCATCTTCAAATATTAGTGTCATTATGTATTTTGTTATCCATTCATTTCACACTAGTTTGAGAACTCTCTTAAATATTTAGCTCATCCAGACACACAAATGGGAAGAAATAACAATGTTAAAAATAGTTTGAAGAACTGCACAAGGAAGATGATTCTCAAGGCTACATAGGAGCATGGTTCTCTTTCCACTACACTCAGATTGTTTGGGATTGATTGGGAAATAGTAATTCCATAAGCTGCTGTTTCCTCGGGGTTTCACAAAGTACCCAAAGAAGATTTTTTTGAACAATGAAATAAAATTAAAATTTTAGATTTAGCAACTTTAATGTCATATATTCATCATACACAATGGTGAATATCACAGATATTTTAAACAAGTACATTATGTACTTTCATTATCTTTATCCTCATTCTTCCTTAGTCTCCATCCACCTTCTACTAATTCATCCTCTGTATCTCTTCCTCTTCATGTCCTTGTATGTTCTTGTCTTCCTATATAATAGCTAAGTTCCACATATGAGACACAAATATTGATATTTATCTTCTTGCATTTGACATTTAATTTAATATCATTGTAGTAGTAATTCAAGCAAATGTCATAATTTTATTATTTGCCATAACTGAACAAAGTACCATTTTTTATAAACAAAAGATTTTCTCTATCCATTTATCTCTTGGCATTTTTTTAGCTAATCAGTATTAATTGTGCAATAGAAATTAGAGTAAAACGTCACTTTCATGGATTTTTATCTCATGACTAGGTTCCAGTGTCAAAGAGAAATGACATAATATCTTGATTTGCATTATTCTTCATGTCTGATAATTTTTTAGATGACATTGATAATATTTTAGATGGCAGAGAATATTTTGTAATAGAAAATTTATTTTATTTATGCTAATTAGTAATATGTGAACTTTAGTAAATGTCAAATTGTATTATATCGATGAAAGGCACTTTTGAAAATGTGTATCAAAAGTCTTGAGAATTTTCAGGGTCTATGAATGTGAATGACATTTTTTTGGAATGTATTTTAACGACTAATTAAAGAAAAACAAAATAACAAGAGTTTTATTAAATAATAATAATTAGTCCATATTCTAGTATATTAAATCAAGTAAAATAATAATTATCATCCATACTTAATGTGTAATATTAAAACTAACTAGCAGATTATGAAATATTACATATAATATTATATCTAATTCATGGTAAAGTCACAGAAACTAAAAATATCTTTCAAAATGTTGAGGGTTTATTTATGTATATTAGATTAATTAATGGTTTTAGTCTGTATTTTTCAACCTTTTTCAAGTGTTGAAATATAGTGAACCAATTAAAATAAATTTAGAAGAATCCTGTTTCCTACTGTGTTTAACATTGAAAAAATGGAATGATGCCTTTCTGTTGGCTAACATTTTTAATAGACAAATTGATGGTTGTTCTTGTTTCCAATACAGAAATATTAAATGGTGGAGTCTATGTAGACCAGAACAAATTCCTATGTTATGCTGACACTATACACTGGCAAGATATTGTTCGGAATCCATGGCCTTCTAACATGACTCTGGTGTCAACAAATGGAAGTTTTGGATGTGAGTACCATTATACCATCATCCCTTTTATACATTTATTCATTTATTTATATGTGTGTGTTTCTGTCTATATGTCTGGCTGTGTGACATGGTTCATGCATAGAAGTCATGGGACAACTTGTTAAAACCGATTCCTCTCATCCAGCATATAGGGAATGGGGATTGCAATCAGATCATTAACTTGAGGTCTAACATCTACCTGATGAGCCATGTCAACAGGCCATATCACACTCTGTAATGTCTTAAAATATTATTTTACCCTGTGCTATAGTGAATATCTTGTTCAGCATGCCACTAGTGATATTTTAACATATGAATCCATTGAAAATCTCACTAGTTTCTTCCTTGGGTTTTATGTCTGCCTGCAAATTTCTGACTAGTATCATTCTGCTAATTATTCTCTTTCAGAATTTTCAAACCTTAATTACTCCCAAATGCCCCATTGGTAATGTTTATACCGATTCACAATAATATAATATGAGTCATTATAGGCCTCACATATAAGAAATACTTCTACCTTCTTAGTTTTTAATCAAACATAAACTACTGAACTCTTTCTAACTTAAGGGTTTTATGCTATTTCCACATGAGATGATTTATCAAATTAATAGTGCTCAATATGATGAAATATTAAACAAATAGTTTCTGAACTATCATTGAAACCTCTGCCAATGATTCTGTCTGGGATCTCTCATTGTTATAAAGCAGCCTTTGTTGTCACACATTTATTAGTACTGACGTTTGTATGAGAACTGAATCTTTATCAAGCATTAGCCTGGGTTTAAAATTTCTCATCTGTTATTATATATTTCCCACCTGAAATCATAACTGTCTCCACATAGTTCCATAATTATTTGCAATAGTGCTGATTGTGTTATGATGATTTTATGGGAAATCAAACTCCAAGGGACAATTATTAAATTTCATGATGGCCATAATAACATAATGGGGAAATATGAATGTATTTGATCAAAACTGACAGCTGTGTTTTTAATAAAAGGCTAAAGCCTTTTTGTGAAAGTAGGATAACATAATTTTCTTGTCATCTTTAAACAGAAAATTGTATGAGATTCTTTCTTTGTAGTTTTCAAGTTACCTACCAGGTAAAATTTCATGTGCAATTTTTTTTTTCATTTTTAAACCTGCTTGTGCTAACAATGGAAAAGATGTGGTTTAGAAAAGACTACTGTTTTCAGGTGGCCTGTAATATGAACATACTATACAAGGCAGAGGTTGTATTGGTTGAATGAAGGAAAGGCTCGCTGACTCTCAGATTCTCAGAATAACTGGCCTTTAAGGCATAAATAATATCATGTAAGAATAAAGCCTGAATCAGAAGCCAGAAGGAAATCATCCGACTGCCTTTGCAGGAGAAAAGGTCTATGGGGTTAGGACACATTCACAGATGGTATCTCTTTGTGCTGTTCTTTTGGAGGGCTAATTTGGATGATTGTGCCTATAATTAGGCAACTGTGACTGGACTTTTTGTTTTGCATGTAAAATTTTCAGATGCCAAAATTAAAAATGCAGAAAGTGTTTATAATCAATGGTCCTTTAAAGATGGTTATATCGATAGTTGTCAAAATGTTATTACTTATATAGCTTTAGATGGTAAGTAATTTCATCTACTGTATGATATTAGGTTTGAAAATAATGAATTAACTATTGTTACATGTTAATTTTTATACTTTTTTGTGTTAAAGGAAAATCAATGAATATATATATGCATGAATATAATGATACATATATATGGATATAATTTGTGGTTTCTGTTTCACAGTACATTTGTAAATATTATGTAGTTAGATTCTTATATTAGTTCTTGATAAAAATTATTTTAATAGGTAATTAATATTAAAGAAGAATGTATACAATCGTGGTCCAGAGCTTTTAAATTTTTTTCACATAATTTTAGGGATCTGATGCATCCTACTTAGGCCTATGTGCTTAATTCCTTTTCTTGTTACAAGTCCTAATAATAAGCACGCTAGATTTCTTTCCAAGAACTGCAACTTTGCCATTGTTACACTAAATAAATCAAGTGGCTTAGTATTTTCAGTAACTTTGTGCCTATTTTCCAGCTTGATAAACTGTGCTTTCTAGTTTACAAGGTAATTCTTTTCTTCAGCTTTACATAAGAAGTTTTTTAATCATGCTTGAAGATACTCACTTGGGTCATATTCCAATAAATATGTTCTTCTTGAAGTTTGATTCTGAAGATGAAAGGCTGCTTCAACCTATGTAAATCAACAAAGTTATCCAACTGATAATCTCTAACATAAAAATCATGTAATCATGTCATTAAAAGCAGAAAAGGCATTTGATTAAATATGAAATTGCTCTATAAGGTACACAGAGGGACTTAGGATGGAGGGAGTACACCTCAACATAATATACAAGTGACAAAACTGCATATATCATTATGCTAGATGTGGAAAAACTCACATTATTTGCACTAATATCAGAACTCAGGCAAGGACACTTCATTCCTACCCAATAATTCAAAATAGTGACTGCAGTCTGACATGAGAAGACAAGAGAAGGAAATAAAAAGTTGTGCTAATGGGAAAGAGGTCTTTTTGTGTGCAGACGTGATCTAAGGATGCCACATAATGGTCTTGGAGGGGACAAATATTTTTAGCAAAGTAGAGATATACAGAATTAAGACATAAAACTACCAACTTTTCGCTATACCAATTACAGCCATACTGACAAGGGAAAACAATCCTTTTCACAAACACACAAACAAAGCTAGTATGTACAATAAAGTCTTTAAGTTAACAATCACTAAAATACGAATTTCCAAAGATGTCAAAGAATTAAAAACAAAGAACTTCCCACGCTCATGAATTGATAAAATTAGTTTAGTAGAAATGACCACCTTATCAAAAACAATCTATCCATCCTGTGTAATCCAAATCAATTCTTAGGCATGTATTCAATATACAGGAAATAATCCAAACTATTTATTGATGGCTCAAAAATGCCAAAAAATGATTATTGAAAATATTTTGTGAAATATATTCTTAGGTATATTTTTAGGTTTCACTAATCCATAATAAAAATATTTAAAATATTTTAAAGAAAAATATGTTTGTTATTGACATTCATTTGATATCGAATCAAAATTCAAAAGAAAGGCCTTGTATACCTGTCAACACTTTTAAAAACTTTTAAAACCTATTAAAATTATACATATTTACCAGATGTATCACATATCTAAATTGTGTTCCAGAAGCAAATGCTAGCATACTAAAGAACGGGAATGGGAGATTGACAGATATTATATAGCATTACTTTCACAGGCAGAATTTCATAACTAAGCATTTCTCTAAATGAGATGTTCAAATACATTTAATGGTTGAGTTTTATTATTATATTTTTATTGAACCTTACATAGATTAATAATTGCCCTCTGCAAAGATTAAGCACTATGTTCTATGAAAAATCTTTCTTGAGCTAGAAGAAAATCAAGTCTGAAAACAGAATTAAACTATATTTATTATAATATCACTCATGTAACACTTATGATATAAAAGTATTTATACGAAATAGATGTACTCTTTTAATATTGCACTTTGGTATACAGTTAATATGCAATCAAGACACATCTAGACAGGTCCAATTTAAGTAAATTCATACATGCAATCAAATTACATGATTTTTCAAAATATTTTAAAGTCAGAATATAAATTAGGGGACAAATGTAAAACACATTGGAAAATCTAAGTTTATTTACATAATTCCAAGAGGTAGCCTTATAAAAACTACTATAAATTTTATATATATATATATATATATATATATATATATATATATATATATATATAATATTATTGAAAAAAGACCTAACATACAATCTAAGAATCTGTGTCACATAAGCTACATTAATGTCATGTGTCAGCTCCACTATTAATTAGAAAGTGAAGTCTTAAGATAACAATATAGTGAAATAAAATATTATGAGATTAAATAAAAAATAACCCACCACCTCAAAGTTGGACAAAACTCAACAAGAGGAACTAAGCCCAAAGGAAGGCCCAAGTATCAGAGACCGATTATTTCATACATTCAGGGCCACATTAAGTCTCTAGACTCTTAGCCATATTATATATCAAGAGGAACTAAGCAGTCCCTTGAAGGGTCTGTGAATGCCATGCTGCCTTAGTCTCTGTGAGCTCATATGACTTTGATGGTGTTGGTTTAGAGGGCCTTGTTTCCTTTGTGACCTCCATCCCCTCTAGTATTTTACACTTGTTTTGCCTCTTCTTCCATGAGCTCAGAGGAGAATTTGATGGACACATCCTATTTATGGTTGAGTGGTTCAATGTCTGTCTCTCTGCATATTGTCTGACTATAGTTCTTTATATTTGTTCCCATGTGCTGCAGGATGAATCTCTCTGATGATAGCTGGCACTTGTCTATGAGTATTTCAGAATATCATTTGGAGTCATTTTATCACTATCTTTTCTTAGTACAATAGTTTTTTATTTACCTTAGGTTCCAAGGTATCTATTTGCTTGTTTGTGGTCACCCACAGTATCTGATATGAGTCACATCTTGTAGAGAGTCTTAAGTCATTTTAGATATGAGTTGTTATTCCAAGAAGCTTTATGCCACCATTTCCCTACCATATCTTGCAGGCAGTACACCTTTATAGATACATGGTGGCTCAGTTTGTTTTATATGTTTATGCTTTGGTAGCATGAACAGCACTTTTCTGCACCACAGATGCACGAATAGGTGAAGGCTGTATGTATGCACCAGCTCAATTTCACCGGCTTCAATGATTTATGTACATGTTGTCAGTTTATGGAAAACCACCTCTCGTCTTTGTAACAGCTTAAGTTTGGAGGTTCCCATGGAACCCTTTGGCCAACAACACAATTAGATATAATCCAATCCTGGTCCTGAAAGCTTCATTTGTTGACAAGAGATGAGCAGCTAGGGATCTGTCTAATCTCTTAGAGGCCTGGCTTTTTAATGAGAAACAGAAAGGGAGTGGATACAGCTATGAAGCAAGGTGAGGGGAACCAAATGTGAGGGATAGAGGTAAAGAATACCATAATCAGGGCATATTATGTGAGAAATGAATCTATTTTCAATAAAAGAGGGCAAAGAGAGACAAAAGTATGTAACTATGCATAAGAATAGTAATTTAAATTTTAAAATATCAAAAAATAAGATGAAAATACAAAAGATCATATATGTTGGAGAAAATACTTCTCCTTTTTTGGAGTTTAAGATATTTTTCTGTGCTGTAGGGAAAGCTGCCCTAAAGAGACACATCGTCAAATATAGCAGATCTCCTCCTCCTCCTTCTCCTCCCCCTCCTCCTCCTTCTCCTCCTCCTTCTTCTTCTTCCTCATCCTCCTCCCCTCCTTCTTCTCCTCTTCCTCCCCCTCATCCTTCTTGTTCTTTTAGGCACTTAGTTCTATGAATTTCTTCTTAGCACTGCTTTCTTTGTCTCCAAAAAGTTTAGGTATGCTGTATATTCATTTTCACTAAATTCTAGAAACTGTTTGATATTTTTCTTTATTTATATATGGACCCATTTATTATCCAGTACAGAGTTACTCAGTTTCTGCTAGTTTGTAAACTTTCTGTTGTTGTTGAGATCCAGCTTTAATTCATGGTGGACAGACAGGAAGCAGGGAGTTACTTTAATTTTCTTGTATCTGTCCAGACTTGCCTTGTCTGAGTATGTGGTCAGTTTTAGAGAAATTTCAATGAGGTGCTGAGAAGGTCCTTTTGGGTTTGGCTAAAACATAGAGACTGTCCTCAAGTGAACAATGGACACAACAAATAATTTTTTTACATTGTCTTCTCTATACATACTGAAATCAGCAAGCTGCTGTATTTAAATTAGATTCCCAATACTCCCCTCACAGAAATGAGAATCTATGTACAAATGTTCCGTAAATATATGTTATGTTCATTTGGTTTATAATGTCTGTTAGCTCCAGCATTTTGTAAGTTTTTGTTTGGATGCACTGTCCATGGAGGTTTGGGTATTAAATCTCCTGCTTTCAGTGTGTGAGAGTGTCTATACGACTTCAGCTATAGTAGTGAGTGTAGGGTAGAAAGAGGACTTAATAACAGCCACTCTACTTGTCCTCCCTGCATTTCCTAACAAACTCAATAGTTTGATTTTCCCTTAGAAGGGAACATAAATGTGGTACTCTGTTTTCAAAATTCCTTTGTTGATTTGAAGGCAATCTTATTAGCACCAGTTTACTGTAAGATTCCTATGCTGGAATCTGATTAGAAAATCCTATTATGGAACATACACTGCAGGGTATATGTTAAATTTAAACTAAGTATTTATATTCCCTTTAATAATAAACATTAAGCATAATTAGTTATCTTTTGCCTATTTAATTATTTATTTATTTAAATTAGTTATCTTTTAATTATATTTTGAATTTTTTATTAATCATTTTATTCACTTACATTTCAAATGATATCCCCTTTCCTGGTTACCCATCCACAAATTCCCATTCCATTCCCCTTTTTTCCCCTCCCTTTTGCCTCTATGAGGGTGCTCCTCCACCCACTCACTCACTCCTGCCTCACTGCTCTAGCATTCTCCTACACTGGGGCATCATACCTCCTCAGGATCAAGGGCTTCCCCTCCCATTGCTGTCAGGTAAGGCCATCCTCTGCTACATATGTATCTGGAGCCATGGCTCCTTCCATGCATACTCTTTGGTGGGTGGTTTAGTCCCTGGGAGCTGTGGATGATCCAGTTAGTAGATATTGTTCTTCCTATGTGGTTGCAATCTCTTTCAGCTCTTTGAGTCATTCCCCTAGCTCTTCCATTGGATTCCTCGGGCTTAGTCTGATGATTGGGTTTGAGTATCTGCATCTGTATTGGTTAGGTGCTGCTAGAACCTCCTAGGAAACAGTAATACCAGGCTCCTGTCAACAAGCTCTTCTTGGTGTTAGCAATAGTGTGGGGGTTTAGTGTCTGTAGATGAGATGGGGTGGGGTGATCTCTGGTTAGCCTTTCTTTCTATCTCCGTTACATTTTTTGTCCCTGTCTTTCCATTGGACAGAAACATTTCTGGGTTAAATTTTTTGAGATGCATGGGTGGTCCTATCCCTCAACTGGGGGCTGTGTCTATCTACTGATGGTCACTAAAGGTTGTAGTTTCCTTTATCGGATATTTTGTCTAAAGTCATCACCTTTGCCTCCCTGGAGTCTGGAACTTACTAGTGGTACACTCAGTTCTCCATCCACCAGTGCTACATGTTTCTATTCAATTTTCTGACCCTCTCTACTTCTCTCCTGTCCCTTCTAATACCTGATCCTCCCCACTTTATTCCCTCCCCCTCCTCTCTCCCTCCCAGGTTCCTCAATTATATTTTTTGTTTATTTGTCTTGAAACAAAGTCTGACAGATCAGAGTAACCAGAAACATGTGATTCTTGTGCCTAGAAGAATGTCTTTATTGATTTTTTAATAATTTTCAAATGGCATACAATGACAAAATATTAAAGAAGCAAGATTATCTGAATTGACTAAAAGTACAGCCTCTCAGAACCCCATGGGGATGACATTAGCTGAAATACCACCACAAAGAGGAGGAAGAACCTGTTGAGATCATATCCAGAGGTTAGGCATGGACCCTGGTTGAGGGACAGGGCCACCTATCCTTCTCCAAAATTTTAACCCAGAATTGTTCCTGTCTAAAAGAAATACAGGGACAGAGTGAAGCAGAGACTGAAGGAAAGGCAATTCAGAGACTGCTCCACCTGGGAATCCATCCCACATGCAAATACCAAACCCAGACACTGTTGTGGATGCCAAGAAGTGCTTGCTGACAGGAGCCTGATACAGCTGTATCCTGAGAGGTTCTGCCAGGTCCTGACCAATACAGATGCAGATGCTCACAGTCAACTATCGGACTGGGCACTGGGACCCCAAGGGAAGAGTTAGGCAAAGGAGCTGAAGGGCCCTTATCTTACATTAATGGGAGGAAAGGCCCTTGGTCCTGTGAAGTCTCAATGCCCCAAGTGTAGAAGAATGCTAGGGGGGTGAAGCAGGAGTGGGTGGATGGGTGGGGGAGCACCCTCATAGAAGCAGGGTAAGGGGGGATAGGATAGGGTATTTGCAGAGGGGAAACCAAAAACCAGGAAAACAGATAACATTTGATGAAATGTAATAAATGTAAATAAATAAAATATCCAATTAAAAAAAGTAAAATCTATTCTGTGATATTTCACTATTTGTTAATTTACATCCTCACAGAAAGATGTGACGTATTCTTGTATTTGTGAATATCTAGATAATTCTAACACTGGAAATATATGATTACAATAAAAATGATAGATTAAGAAATATAGTTAAATTTCTTACACAAATAACTACAGTCAGCTGATTAAAGGTGGGAACAGGAGAAGTGGTCCTCCCCAGGGAAGGACAAACCAATTTGTTGTCCAGTGCCAAGTATCCAGACATGAAAACATACATACAAATAACTTGTTATGTATTCAAGGTAAATCAAAATATATGTATGTATGTGTGTGTGCACATGTGTGCATGTAATTGTATGTATATAAAAAGCATACATGCATGCAATACCAATTAATGAAAAGAGAAACCATGACTTAGAAGAAGATCAGGGAGGGATAAGCTGTAGGGATTGATTAGGAAACTGAAAGGATAACTTGCAATTAAATTAAAATTTCAAAAAAAGAGTTAAATTACTATAAAGCAAAAGACTCATCACGAGTGGGCAAAGAAAATATTTTGATTCAAATCAGTTATTCATAAATAAACAGATTTATCATGTAACATAAAGCTGATTATTTTTTACAAGAAGCACAGATTGCAGATAACACCTATTTGGTGTTTTCAAGCAACTGTGTGAATTGGATGTCAGCTACAGCAACTAGTCAGTGGTACGCTCTTGCGTCCTTTGTGATTTGTTTAGATGGTGGGAAGAAATGCGTCTGTCCTGTTCTGCAACTGATCAGCATAGATTTTGCTACTGTGTGCACTCCCATCTTTTTTCAGTCAGAGACTTCAGGGAACTCAGTTTCACAATGTATTAGTATTTTCAGGTTTTTATGTCCCTTCTCTATTTCCTCTAATTTTTTAACATTTTAATAAAGTTTTGAAGCAAAGAAAGCTGCTTACATATAATCAGAATATTTGATGGAAGATATGCAAATAGTCTCCTTTCAGTGACATGTTGAAAGCTATGCACATGTCTTTCCTCTCCTATTTCCCCTCCCCCCTTTTTTGACCTCTTTCTAAACCACTTCCTTCCCAGTATTTTCAGCAGAGATGGAGGGGAGCCAGCTGGCTTCCTTAGAGAGTAGAGACAGGGACTGTCCTATCTCTACAGGGACTTGGGTGAAGCTGAATAAGGAGATCAAGCTGCTCACCCACTAAAGGAGCTTTTGAACCTAACTTCTTGTTGGTAGCCGTATGCAGCTCTTATTTAATTCTCCTGCCTGGAAAGAACAAATTATGTTCTATTTAGAGGTGATTCTCTTGCCAACTGAAGGTGCTCATTTTAAGTAGTGAAGAAAAAATTGAGAGGAAATTAAGCAGTGACAGTTCTCTTAAAGTTCTATTTAAAATACAAGTAAAGGAAATATATAAAAGAAATATCAGGAATGAATAAAAACGCACAAAAGAAAATCCATCTCAAAAGTAGGTCCTCTGGTCTGCCATTCTTATTTTCCTGCTTCTTCATGCTTTATTAAATAAAGATTTTAATCTTGGATTTTGTTCAAAAATCATTTCTATAGAATTAATTTGAGTGTTGTACGAAAGGAAAGATGGTTAGCACTCTCCTTGACAAGGATGGAAGAGGCCCTTGGGCCTAACAACATATATATGGTTAAGGCATTACCTTCATGGTATATAGAATTAATCTGAAGTCTGTAATATGAAGTAGAATATACAAATAAAGTAGACATCTAAATACATGACAGTGCATGTTTTCCAGAGTTTAAAAAAATGACTTTATAATGAAAAGCACTTCAATAAACACTAACAACCATTACTTCTACAGTTCTCAATTTCATTAAATCTCACACAGCTCATTGGAAATATTACCATTTATTTGTAATAGCATATAAACAATGTGTAAAGACTTCTATAGTTGTTGTCAACAGGGATCTGCCTACTTTAGTTCAGTAGGAAACATTAATATTAATTGATAATCATTCAGCTTATTTCATTTTTATGAAACAAACTCAGTTAACTACCACAGCAATCTATAACCAAATACAAATGTAATTTTTGGGACAGTGAAGGGTGTTGAAACAAGGACACATTTCTAATGTTCTGGACATTCATATGTGGCTCCTTTGCTCCTTTGTTTCTGGTTGTTTTTTTTTTTTTTTTCTTCTTACTCATCACAAACATCACAGTGAAACAAAGGTCCCAAGACAAATTTTTCTAACTCTAGATAATCTATTACTTACGTGAGTGAATAACTGTCTTTGTTCATTATCTCACTTAACAGTCTTAGTTGATGATTAGTTACTCTGCCTAGAAAAGTCCATTAAACGTCAGTTAGTACCCAAATCCCACTATAAACCAGATATTATGTTAGATAAAGTTTGTTTTTCTATGTATATTTCAATATCTTTGGGGCACTCACTCCTCCTTTATGTAAAGTAAGGTTCTTTTCTTGGCTGTAGCACTAATTAAATACTTGGTTATATTGGTGTGTGTTTGGAGCATGAAGCATATATCCCTGGGTTGACTCTCACATATATCTGTTCTTGTTTGCTAAGTTATTAAACTTCCCTCGCCTAATTATTAAAATCTGCAGTAGTTAGTTCCTTTGGAGGTTTTCATGAGAATTACAATACCTGGAAGCATGCTTTTATATTACAGACTGAAAAGAAAAGCCATCCAAGCTGTGACTTATTCCTTCACATATTAGCTGATGATTATTTTTATATTCTCTTTCAAATAGTTACAAAGCTAAAATTTCTACTTAAAAAACAAAAATTTGGGGCTTAATTTCAGGTAATTTGGTTTATATCTGTTTTTAAACCATCTGTAATAAAATACCATACATATATATTCAGCTTGAGAAATAATCACTCATCTTTTTTCTATAAATAATAACTCAATTTCCAGACCTATCTAGTGTTACAGCACTAAGAAATGCCACTGAAATAACTTGTTGATGGAATCAAATTTTTAATGTATTATTAATACATTATCCCTGGATTTCATATACATATGAACTTTTCATATATGAACTTCAAAGGTGATTTAATAAAAACATTCCCCATGAAGACATTTTAGGTTTATTAGCTATTATAATTATCCCTGGTTCATTTTCTTTTAACCTCCATCAATTTTAAAATCACATTTCCATTCCGCAGGCCTGCAGTAGCCTTTTAGAAATAAAATGTGTTCATTAACTATGGGTTGTTTGTACTTTAAATGTGAGGACTTGGACAGATAGAGTTAATACGAGCAAGAGAGGAATAGAGAGAGAGGCAGAGACAGAAGCACGCGCGCGCGCACACACACACACGCGCGCGCGCGACACATATAACACAGTCCCTTAACAGCTAAGTCTTGGTGGCTGATAGAAAACAAGAAGGATGTATTATGAAGGGTGTGACATCTGTCCTCAGAAGGGCTTGTTTAATATAGTGCTATAGAACTACCTAATCTGTTCCAATTTGCTACCCATTTTTCTTTGTTATCTGTCTCAGGAATGCCTCATCTCCCCAACTGACTGCTACAGGCTAGCAATCTGTAACAAAAACCTCGTCTCCATCTCAGAGATAATAAAAAAGGGAGGCTACAAGATTAATGACTCACCTCATAATTATAAAGCCTCAAACCACAGGCCTTATAAGGCATTTTAGAATCAAAGTCTTTCAGGGTTGAAGAAGCCATGCAGGCACCATGCTGTGAAAATATCACTCTCTTAGCAAAGGAGATGCTGGCTTACTCAATCTGGTATGCCACTGTGGTTTCAGCAGTGTTAGAAATAATAGTGAAGAAATGGTTTCTTCCCTTATGGAACTTAGAATAATTTTGTCCATCTCCATTACCCCATGATAATACCCAGACCTTATTAACCCATAGAATGGCAAGAGCTGTTCTTGCAGACAGGTGAAAACAGAAGCTAGTGATTCACAACATCTCACACCTGTCTCACGTGTACCTGCTTATGTCCGTGATGAGGCAGAACCAGTCTATACTGATCCTTAAGAATTGACTACTTTTCATGATAATCAATATAAAGAGAGAAATTCCCTTTCTTACCTCACACATTTTTATCTCTAACTGATGTCTTATCTCATTGAATCAAAATATAGTCTCATGTGCATACATACCTACATGTGTGCACTTGCATGGACACACACACATACTTGCGTTTGAATGCACACACAATTACTAAGGTGTCACAATACAAATTCATGAATAGTTACAAAAACTATGGGAAGAGAATTCTTAGGTCAGAGAACTGAAAAAAGTCAAAACAAATTGGGAATTGCTGATTAAGTTAATCGATGGGGAGGAAGAAGCAAATGTGACTTTCTTATAGGAAAAGACAGATAGGGATGGAGATGTGGTATGAGAAAGACTTCAGAGAAAGATTTAACAAGTGTTAAAACAGACAGTGAATTGGATCCCAGGTGATATACTTGACTGGGATATTGGCTTTAATATCAATCTATCTAATGCAACACTGTTCATATACTAAACATGTAAGAGGTTATAGTTGTTTAGGGCTCTCAAGCTTATAACCAGCAACCTAACAAAGATAGAGCATCCTTTGGAGCTTGACTGCACTATCAGTAATATCCAATCCTTCACACTGAGGCAAATATTTCTTCCATCTGTGGGTTTCTGTCTCCCTCTTTAGAAGTAGAAATAGCCTCTGGCTCCTCTACATTCTTCAGTGTAACTTTTCTGAAGTATAGAAGACTGTTGAGTTCCAGGATCTGGAAGATTTCTCTAGATTCAAGATTTAAGGGACAGTCTTGCAGAGACTCTGGTCTTCACATTTTGTACAAAGTATAGTGAAATCTTGGGTGTATAGGCCAGCTCTGACAAATCACCTCTTTCCTACTGTTTAATCTTTTCACACAACTCATCATTTCCAGCCTGTCATAAAGAGTTTCATCTGCATGCAAATTTCTTTCACTTTATCTTCTTTAATTCTCTTTACAATGTTGTGATAATTTAGGGGGGACTAACATTGTTGTCAGATATTTAAAATACGTTATTCCACTACATTACATCTAACATATCTGTGAAGCATGGTTTTACACAGTTTTTGGAAAATAAGCTGTTAGGTAGTTCCTTGCTCAAGATTCAGGCAGAACAACCCGATTCCAATACTTAACATCTTCCTGTATTACTACAACTTAATTAAAATTTGTGTCCTTTCTTCTGTCTTTATTTTCTCCTTTATGTCTTACCAGGACTTACTTTAAGTGTTTCACACATGCAGAATGTATGACACCCAGGAGACTGATGATGATCCTGTAAATTGGTTATGTCCTCAATGGTGTTTTAACTTCCATAATTGTGGAAGTTGTAGAATAACACATAGTAGAACCAAAGCAATTGCCAATTAGAAACTTCAAAACAAGCGAACTTCCCCTTAGATATTGACCACATGCTGAGTGTCTGAAAAGCTGATCTGTAATAAAAGAAATATCTCTGGCATCACAAAGGTTGTCTTCTACTTTCTCCTTTGCAAAGTTAAAAATCAAACAATGCTATTTGTGTTGTGATTTGGGCAATCCTGAGGAGGTATGTGCTAATCAGTCTGTGATGCAGAATGTAGAGAGTGCTCAGTGCATGGTAACATTTACAAAGTGGTGGCGTTAGAGGTGCTGATACTATCAATAATAATATCGCACTGACATAAACATCTATGTTTATTTAAAAAAAAAAAACCTGTGACATGCAGAGTATAAGGGCAAAGCACAGTAGGAGAGGTTAATTAACCTGTCTGTGAAATAACACAGCAAATGATAGGTGAAAATCAAAATGCTGGCCCATCCCATTGCAAGTGAACTTTGGGTTTGATTGTATATCTGTGTGTTTATGTGAAATGCTGTTTAAATTACATATGTTGGATTTATATCACTGCCATTCAGTGTGATACATTAATTTGGATTCATTGTTTTATCTATCAAATTCTTGTAAAATCTGAATGGTTAACCTCCATTAGGAATTTGTTACTCTTCTAGGCCTGTGTCATTTACATATGAAAAAGCATATTTAATCTTTAATCCACCTTGGTGATTAAAAGGTCAAATAGGATAGATGTGTTCAGAGACCTTTGGTACATTGCAGGCACCAGCCCATTAGTTCAAACCAGCCAGTACATCAATCCTTTCTTCAACTTTTCTGATATATGTGCCACTCATACAGAAATCCACACAACTATTCCAGATCCCATTTAGCTCTTTCAAGAAGGAGATGTTGAAAGACATGTTCAAGTTCTTTCTGAAATCCAAAGCACTGCTTTACAAGCTCAAACATCTTCTGAAAATATGAGTATAAATTAATATTTTCTTAATGCTCATTTTAATTAATGATATGTATTGATCTCCTACATTACCAGAAAAAAATTAATAGAGTAAAATAGGTAACTTAATTATGTTACATATAATTGAAGACCTAGTCACCCAAACATAAAGATTTGAATAACCCAGTAGGACTTCACATGAGAGAACTATGCCATGAAGAAGAGTAAGAGATAGGACCCTGAGGGCTGAGATTTGTAGGATCCTGAATACCCAAGTAAAGGCTATTGCTTTTATTTTGAGCGGTAGATGGCCATCATGGTCTGATGGAGATTACAATGTCTATAGTGAATATAGATCATAAGTAGGTCAGGATATAAGTTAGCCCAACAATTAAGTTATCTTAATCCAAGTATAA